TATATAAAACATATATATATTATATATATATATAAAATAAAAGAAGAGTGTACATGTAGATGCAATTCAACATTTTAGTGGAGCTTTGCATATTTTGTGGTGCGACATTCCTGCTATATTAATAGTATGCTTATAGTTATTCGTCCGTCTCTCAGTCGCTCTCTTCATTGTCAATTGAATTAATGAACTGATCTGTGCTTAATTCTCTTCTTCTCATCCGATTTCGATTCCCTCGTCACTGGTCACTGTCACAGTTATTAGTACAAGAAGCATTTAGAAGAGATATGGGTAAGATGCAGTTCGACACGATCGACGTCGATAAGGACAATGTGGTCAGCCGTTCAGAGTGGGACAATTTTCTGAACTCAATGGTATGGATAGCAATTGCCGTGTGCAACACAGGCTTCAGCTTTTCTTTTACGTTCTAACAAAGACGATGCTTTTATTGTTCATCCCAATTTGATGGCCACACCTTTGCGCCGAGGTACATTATTGCAAATTATAATGCAACATTTATTGGGATTTTAGGTAGTGCAAAGTAAGAACGAAGAAGTGATGAAGCCTACGGCGGTGCAGTATCGAAACCTGTTCATTAGGGTCGGCGCACCCTTTGTTGTCTTCGGCTTTGTCGATAACTTAATCATGATAGTAAGTGTTTGTTGACATACATCTGGATCACCTTCGCGTTATGTTGTTGGCCGATGTGGTTAAACGTGTTACAGGCGCCCGCGGTTGCATATTCTAATTGTTCACATGCGAGTCCTGATCTTCCCCGGAGGACTGCATACGATGCGGGTTTTTTTAGTCCAGTAAAGAGCTGAAATGTATTTTCGGGTTGTGCGTGGCGATGCATGCCTTGGGGTTTGATAATATTGATTGCACTCTTTTCCAATTGTGTATTTACTTTCTTCCGACCCCCCCCCCCCCTTTTTTTTGGTTGGGGGGTAGTTTAGGAAGTTGTGCTTTGACTTGCACATATAAACAAGCCAACAATCGCGACCATCCCACCATTTATATCACCCTTCCGCCGTTTGTAGTCCGCAGGGGAGGCGATAGACTATCACCTGGGGGCCGCATTGGGTATCAGTACAATGGCGGCGGCAGGAATCGGGAACCTACTGTCGGTATGTGTAGATTAGACTATTTCGAGTGTGTATATAACAGACTTTCGACTGAGAGCAATGCAATGACATCACACATAATCAAAATGGTCAGCATGTTTAGGTAAGGCGAAGTTATGAAACTGATGTGTGTGTTGCTCACTTATGTACATAGGACGTTGTGGGTACATCCTTTGGGGGCCTGATCCAGTCCATGGCGGATAGACTCCATTTACCGCATCCGCATATGTCTGCGTCACAGTTGGAATTGAAGACTGCGCGAACGATTAAGCACGCGGCCTGTTTTGCTGGCCTTTGTATAGGCTGTACTTTAGGCATGGTACCATTGCTAGTTTTATAAAGTTAAACGTATATGAGACATTCTGTTTTATTTTCAAGACTCATTTCGGGTGACCAAATACATTGGATGTACATATTCTCAGTGGACGGCCGGTAGGATCATGTTTAACCGATAGGACACTCGGAGTTCTCATGAATCATAAAAAAGTATGTTACATCTGTAGTAGAATATCCATTGATGATCGCGCAGTGCTTATTGCAAGCAGAAGAACAGTCTTTCATCCTAAACCCCAATGCCGCTGAATACACTTGTCACTTTAGTGGCTTCAACCCAACATTACACCAAGATATAGTGGTTTATTAGGCTGATAGCGGAGAAACAGATATTTTCTTGGATAGTGAGGTAGATGATGGCGCAACAAAACAAAAACAAAAATTGGAGTAGACATGGACAGATATTCAAAAATTGTCAAAGAAGTAACGCCAATTTTGTCAGGAGAGAGGTGCTTGAATATTTAAAGGCAAACTGGAATCACACTGTGCATTCTGATAATTCCCAATACCTTTATTAACAACCTCACACGAACACCCATGAGGTCACTCTCGGCGTACACGTCAGCGGATGTCAGAGGCGAGTGGTGCTGTGCCTAGCACCTGCGCGCGCATGTGACGCCAGCATACATTCCAAGCATAAAGTTGGACATCAAAGGTAACAGCCCAAAAAAAAGAATGAAGAACGATACAATACCTACAGAATCGGAATCATTAATGATGAACGGTACAATACCTACATAATTGGAATCATTAATTATGAACGGTACAATACCTACAGAATTGGAATCATTAATGATGAACGGTACAATACCTACAGAATTGGAATCATTAATGATGAACGGTACAATACCTACAGAATTGGAATCCTTGATGATGAACGGTACAATACCTACAGAATTGGAATCATTAATGATGAACGGTACAATACCTACAGAATTGGAATCCTTGATGATGAACGGTACAATACCTACAGAGTTGG